AAATAAAAGGTGAAATGATTTGATTTGCTAAGAGAAATAGGAGATAAATTGAGAAAGTAGTAAAGATTTGAGGTAGATATTGTAAAAGATGGGAAATGACTTATTTGTTTAGTAAACATTTACCAAGTGCTAAGCACTTGTACTAAGCACTTGTACTTCATGCTGAGTAGCATGAAGAGTAGTTGCAATGGAAAATCATGAATTTGCTTTTTTTGTGTGTGGGGGGGTGGTTTTGGGGGGTTAAACCCAGAGCCTTGCACATACTAAGCAAGTGCTTTCTCACCAAGCTCCATCCCTAGCCTGTAATTCCTGCCCATGAATTTGGAATAGTGCCAGTCTATAAGGTACTAAGTTCCTTCTTCCAGCAGCACTTTGCCATGTGCACAATTGAGCCAGATAAAGTGTCAACTGGAATGGTCAGATCTTGGCATTTTATGGAATAGGGACAATGGATGAACATGGGATAAAGGGAGTTGAGATTCTAGGTAAAAATAGGGTTTATGGTCTAGGCCCAAAAGAGAAAAATAAGTATAGAGGCGTGGGCTGTTAGATTGAGAGAATATAGAGTCATTACAGGCATAAATTTCAGTGAGGATGAAGAAGTAAGATAGTTGAGCCTGGTGCAGTTGTACACACATAAAATCCAGGCTACTGGGGAGGCTGAGGCAGGAAGATGGCAAGTTCTAGGCTAACCTCAGCAATTTAGTGGGACATGGTCTCAAAATGAAAAATAAAAGGGGCTGGGAATGTAGCTCAGCAATAGAGCATCCCTGATTCAATTCCTGATACCACTTTAAAAAAATGAGATTGTTGAAGACCTTAGTGTTGTAGTGAAGAAAATAGTGCATTTGAGATTAAAATTTTGAAGAATATAGTGGAAGCCAGGAACTAGGGTGAATGGCTATGGGTAGAGATGATTGAGAGATGAATGGGGTGAAGGTTATTAGTTTTTTTTGTTTGGTACCTGGGGTGCTTAACCCCTGAGTCACATCCCCAGCCCTTTTTATTTTTTATTTTGAGACAGGATCTCACTAAGTTGCTTAGGGTCTCGCTAAGTTGCTGTGAGGCTATCTTTGAACTTGTGATCCTCCTGCTGCAGCCTCTTGAGCTGTTGGGATTACAGACGTGCACAGCCACACCCACAAGGTCATTAGTTTTGCTAAAATCCATTAGTGTTCTTTCAATTGAGAGTATCAAAAATCTGGCTAAACAATAAGGGGATTTATTGGCTTATGTAATTGAAAAGTCAAGAATTGGGTAGGCTTTAGATTTATTTTGACCCAGGAATTCACAACAAAACAAAGGGATTCATTCTTTAATACTCTTGGCTCCCTCCTCCATGTGTCAAGAGAATGAACTTCTCAGTTCCTCCAGCACTTATTTTTTATTTTGAGACAGAGTCTTGTTAATTTTCCCAGGCTGGCCTCAAATGTGAGAATGAACTTCTTTTGACCATTGGAATCAATTCCTGGACTTTACCTTGACTGGACCCACTTGGAAAAATGCCCATTTACCCTTGAACTAATTGCTCTGGCAGGATATGTTTTTGATTGGCTTAGGCATGGCTTATTGCCCACCCCGGTAGCAAGGAAGATGGTGTGTTCTTCTGATTCACTTAGGCCACTTAAGGTGTGTCCCTGACACTGGAGGTAGATTGGGGTCAATCTAAATGGAAAGGAGTGGAAAGAATACTGGCGAGGAAACCAACAATGTCAACCACAGTGAGGAACTGTGATGCTAGTTATTGAATAACCGCCTATGCTGTGCACTGAAGGTGGCAGGAGGGTAGCAAGATTTCGAATGCCAAACCCATCAGTAAATATTGAGGAATAACCAA